GCCTGGCGATCACATCTGAAAATCAGCCATTGGAAACTCTACAGATCACAACAGGACACTTGTCTATCGCTAGAGTGCTGCTGGAAGCTATGGCACCACTATTTCAAATACCAGCAGGGTCCTGTTTCAGTGCAGCTTCCAGACTAAAGCAGAACAGGAAGAAAGGCCTGGTGATCTACTTCTGAGAACTCAGCCTATGGACAACCCTGTGGAACGCAGCAGAATCTGTCTGATGGGAGTGCTGGAAGCTATAGCACCAGTATTTCAAATACCAGCAGGGTCCTCCATGGGAGACAGGTTTCCACAGAGCTTCCAACACTGTGAGACTAGGAACAATGGCCTGGTGATCTACTTCTGAAAATTCAATGAAAACTGTAGGGAACGAACGGAGCAGAGTCCTATGTGACAGACTATAGGAGGTGAGCCACTGAGGTTGGAAGGCTGTCCAAACACACAGTGACCCCAACCACAGCTTTGAGTACACCAAGAATGGTGTAGACAGGGCAGAGATTGGCTGTGTTTCCTTCTGCTATACCTGGTGTTGTCCTGAGACAAACCCAACATGACGACAAACAGCTGGCTCACAAAGCAAACAGCACCAGGGTTGTAGGGATCGAGCGAGAAGCCAAGATCTACGCTGGTATTATCAGACCAGGTGAAGGCAGGTAATTGTGTCTGCATTAGATAGAGCAGTTTCACTTACCTTTTTGGCTTCATCAGCAGCTGAGAGGCCCAGACCTATACCTGTGCAAGTTTCCAGTTTCCGAGCTGAGGCAGAAAGCCTTATACCTTATTACAGTAACCACCTTTGGCAGGAAGTCCCAATACCTTGTTCAATACACCCAAGAGACAGGAAAAGCCCCTTGTAACTCTCTCTGTGGACTTCAACTGCACTCACCAAGGATTCAATGGCGGAATTTTCTAAAGGAGACTGTGAGGACTTTCTTCCATGCAGCCTCTGGGTAAACTCAAACCCCCTACCTTTCAGTGAACAGCCAAACATATTATACCATTGGCACCAGCCAAGTAATAACCAGTGATGTCAACTCAAACATGGTACCCCGTGTGTGTCAGAGTAGAACTGTGCCCCACAGGATTCTCAGTGGATGATTTTTCATAAGTAGATCCCACTCATGGTG